TCCCCACCCCCCCCCCCCCCCCCCATTGGCTCACATACTTGAAGTTCCTAAATTCTGATTGGCTGGTTTGTTGTAAGCTTTCTCCTGACTGGTCAATGTGTGGTGGCATTGCTCCTTGGACTGATCACTTTAAAATGGTAATATTGTCTGTACACGTGCAGTAACATTTCATGTCATCTGTTCTGGGTATGGTGCCAGCTATTTCGTACAATCATGGCGCGTTTCATTGCTTCATGGCACCTGATGGCTTAGTCACTCTAGTTAATTAAAATGCATCTCAAGCCAAACATTATATTTTGGATTAAGTAAGGAATGGATAATCCATTGCCGCCGGCTGGAACTGTCCCCTTAAGTGACGACGCAAGTCAGGATTTCCTACCAGCTACTGATCAGCAGTGACAGTTCAGTCATGGCTCCGGGGGTGCTGATTGTCCCGCCCCCAGATCAATACAATTGACGCATATATGCACCAACTAGGCATTAAAGTCAAATTTTTTCACCCCTTCCCAATCCTGCTGTAGGGACTTACCTTAAAAGATGTCTCTTTTAAGGCAAGTCCATACTTACCTTAAAATCCGATCATCTTCTTTCCTGTCCTTTTCAGCTGTCCCTCCAGCGCTGGTGCGGGTCTCCGATCCAGCGCTGACTCCTCTGTCCTCCTCTTCTCTGATGTCCCATGGAGTCTGTGCGGGTGCACGCTGCTCTATAGAGACTTACCTTGTGTCTCTCCTCGTCTCCCGGCCAAACATCGGAAGTGCGCATGCGCCCGCCCCAAGATCCTCTGCGGCCGCCCGAGACTCTTTCAGATGTTCGGACGGGAGCGCACGGCGAAGACACAGGTAAGTTTAAACCCTTTTTAAAAAGGTTTTTTGTTTTTTTTAATGTTTTTGCATATATCTGCTGCTTGGTAGCCATAGATATATGCAAAAACACCCGAGGGTTTAATAACACTTTATGATCCACTGTGCTGCCACATAGATGTGATGTTGTCATAAAGGGGTTAAAAGTCCTCAGTCTTTTTTTGCCATCTCATTGGGATTTCTCTTCACTTCCTCTCCTGTAGACACAACAGGAAATCTCAAAGTGAGAGAAATGCCCATAGAGAGAGAGAGAAAGTGTCCCCATTGGAAGATTTTCCTTCTATTCCTGTCCTGCTGACAACTCAAACTTTTGTATTTTTCCCTCAATTTCAGTCTGGGGTCACCAGGACAAATAGAGAGTGACACAGGGACAGTACTAAAATCCATACAGAGAGAAATATAGGGGCTGCCATTTCTCATCCTTCTCTGAAAACCTGTTTCCCCACAAATAAGACCTAGTACTATTTTTGGGAATTGCTAAAATATAAGACCTACCCTGAAAATAAGACCTAGTTGTGACCATTCCCAGGGCCGGTGGTGACATAAGGGGGAACTTGAAGAGCCGCAGGAGAGAATCAGCGGTGCCAACGAAGCCAGCGCTAGAGGAAGCGAGGCGGCAGCGGAGGGAGCAGAGCCGCATAAGCCGATGCCTCCTCTATAGCGCCGGCCCCCGTCACAGGCGGAGTGATACCAAATGCACTTCGCCTGTGAGGAATCCATAGTGAAAGCGCGCTTCGCTCATTCTGGGCAGCGATTTTTTAGCAAATTGCTCTTGGAAAGGTACGGCACACCTGATTACCATATTTTTGTACTTGAATACATGTAGACTGTTGTACATAAAGAAGTGGATTGTTGTACATTACAAAAATAAAGACCTACCCCAAAAATAAGACCTAGTGTGTTTTTGAGCCACAAAAAATATAAGACAGTGTCTTATTTTCGGGGAAACACGGTAGTAGCTTGGCTGTCTCCAGCCTCAGTATTGAGTTATTATCTTACCTCAGGGCCAACTCCCATGAAGGTATCCCAGTCTTCCCCCAGTCCTTCCACCACTGGCTCCTGTGGTCCCTGGTGAATGGGGATCTGCTGCTCCCCACGCTCGCCTCTTGCCCTCTGCTGACCCCTGACTGGTATTTTGCTTCGCGTTGGCGTTTTTACTGGACTGTATTTGATCTCCTTTAAGCTTTTCAGAACTTCTCCCACCACGGGCCTGGGGGAGTGTAGAGACGCCGGTGGAGATAACGGGAAAGGCGAATGGGGTTCCCAGAAGACGCCGGCCTCTTCTTCCCCCGTGAAGCACAAGGAGTCCAAAGAGGTGGTGGACAAGGAAGACAAGGAGCCCTTGGTGCTGCTGCTGCTGTCATTAAAGCTGCCCAGAGATTTACTCCTCTGGAGACCCGTGCTGCCAGCGTCCGATCCACTGTGCTGTTTCTTCCTCCTTGGTACGGTGCAGACGGACTCATAGTTGGCATCAGAGACCCTCCATGATGAGCAGGAATGGCACTTTTCCCCCTTGACGCAACGTGAGCAGCCTGCCGAGTTGGCATCCCACCAGCTCTCATGCGCCCACCGCGAGCGGTCTTGGTCCAGAAGTTCTTGGTAGGACTTGGAGTTGGTTCCTGAAGACAGGGAGCCGAAAGAACCATGGAAGGAGCTCGGGCGATCTGGGAAGGGCGAGCTGGGGAAGGAATTCTGGTACCCCGGAGAAAGGAAATTATTTTGAGATTTGTAGTAGCCGGGTGATCGGAGATCATTGTAAGAGCCAAACAAATTGCGTTCCTGGCTGTGATATTCGGGGAGGGGCAGGCCCCAAGCCCTGGCGTGGATGGTCCGGAGAGTGGACGAAAGCTTCTGCCGCTCCTTGAAAAGGCGAACCGACCTCTGCTCGTAGAGCTCTTTCATTCGGGACATCACCAGGTTGTAGCGGTGGTAGACGCTGAGCGTGTGGCAGCATTTTCCGCACAGGAACTCGGCATCTTCCGGCTGACCCTTGCCTTTGCCCGCTTTGGAAGTCGTTCCAGGCGGGCTGCGCTGGACAGGAGTCCCGAGGACTTGCGAGAATAAATCGGGGAGAGCCCCAGAGCCACCAAACAGCCACTTGCGACGCGACCCGCGGAGAGGGGCGGAGCAAAGGCGGCACAGATCCGACATGGCTGCAAGAAGAAGAAAAAAATTATGTTAAAAAGAAAATTACATTTAAAATAAAAAAAAAATGACACATTTTCCAGAAATAAAATAATGAAGACTTTGCATTGGAAAAAAGCCATTCCTCCCTCCTCCACTGCAGTGATGGTATGTCCCTTGGCCTCCTCACGTCCTGTACACTGTGTATGGAGTGTAATGGCTCACAGGCTCTTAGACCGCTGCATCGGAGGGGGAGAGAGAGGCTCCGGGGACCGGTCTAAGAACAAGCAGGCTCCGAGGAT